CATCTTTCCCGGATAGTTGATTGGCACGTTCACACTGCCTCTAAAGACTGGATTTCTATAGAGAATGCTTGCTCGCCCTTCCCCCTGGCATCGGTTCCTTGGCTTTCGCCGAAACACACGCCACAAGTTCTTCTCACCCATCCCTTGGTGGGACCTACGTTAAAAATTTTCCGTTCGGCTTGTAGATCTGCAGCCATTTCTGGCATACCCAACCCCTGACCCCCATACGCCTCAACCCTGACTTTCCCCCTGGAATGCATAAAGACTTTTTAATGAAACACTGGCCACACGAACAGATCTTAGTGCAACATTTTCTCCACAAGGGCAAGGTGAAAACACTCCGAGAATTGCAAGAAAGCCTGGGTATTCGCAAATTCCCTTTCTGGGTATATTTCCATATCAGACATTATCTGCTCTCTCATAAACCCCCTCATAACTGGCATCGCTTCTTACCCCATTTGAAATCTGCATGTGCGAAGGCTGAACCGCGGAAACATCTGATCTCGGAGATCTACCCACTTCTAGTGGAGAGCCGGTCTTATGACTCCCTCCCAGCATGTCGGGCTTGGAAGAGAGATTTTAATGCTGAGCTGTCGGACTCAGACTGGGACCTGGTCTTCCAATACTCTCATAAATGTTCCCTCAATGTCTCGACACAAGAAAACAGCTACAAAATAGCCTCTAGATGGTACCGAACTCCCTCAAGAATTCATCATTTTAACCCCGCCTTCCCCAACAGCTGCTGGAGATGCGGGACCCCGGATGGGTCCTTTCTCCACATTTGGTGGTCTTGCCCGATTCTTCAACCATTTTGGCAGGAGGTACATAGGTTAGTAGTGTCTATAAGTACCTTACCCTTAGCTCTCTCTCCTGCTCAATTCCTCCTCCATCATTCTTCCCTTCCCAGGGCTCAGTACTTTAAATCATTAGCCATGCACATGATCAACGCAGCCAGACTCTATTCCGGTTCTGTGGGGCTCCACTCGCTCTCCCTCTATACGTGAATGGCTCACCCGAGTGGGTAAAACGGCGGACATGGAAGAACTGGTTGCGACTGCTCTCGACACTCCTACGAAATTCTCTCACGTATGGGCCTGTTGGACCCATTTTCTGACTACCCCGGAGTATCGATCCCTCATGGACCAGCCCGTCTGAATTTGATTTGGACTTCTCGATAGTGTTATTTAGTAGTATTTGATCTGAGGGTGCCATCATACTCCCCCCTGTGTTCCATGCACATTCTTTCGACGCCGATGAAAGCGTAGGTTCCACCCACTCCCGCTACTGTTTGTATTGAGGATAAGGTATTTTTGACGGTTGTCCCATCTCTTATTTTACCCTCCATATTTGCTTCCCTTACTCCCCCCCCCCCCCCCCCCCCTTCCCTCCCCCCCCCCCTTTTTTTTTTTTTCTCTCTCTATCTTTCTTTCTTTCCCTTTCTCTTTCTTTCCCTTCTTTCTCGCCTTCTCTTTTCTTTTCTTTTCATATGCTTACACACGTTTCGGACAATTTTTCCAATAGAACATTGAGTAGGTGGTCAGCATCACCTCCCGCAATTCGTCAGCGGTTCACACGACAATTACTCCTACATTCGCACAATTCCATCTTCGTATTCTGTAGTTTTGACTTCTACTTAGGCATCGTATTTGCTCGTCTCCCCCCTACAGATTTTTACCGCAAGACAATATGGTAGGAGGCCAAACGTCTCTTTCTTTTTAGCACTTGACAAGCATACCTGAATATTACAGGCACATCCCTTTCGTGGCCTAGTTCATCCACACTGTTTGGTTTTGCGTTGGACCTCTTTTGCCCTTTGTATGATACATGCTTTGTTGTATGTCCTATGTACACTTCATCTGTACATTTTCGTGTGATCATTTGTATCTTGTTTTCAATAAACTTTGTTTTTTGGAAAAAAAAAAAAAAAAAAAAAAAGAAAAAAAATATGCTTTTGTTTTCTTCTTTTTCCAAAAACTTGAGGCATCAAACGAGATCTGCAAAATACTCACTGCTAAAAGGTATCTCACTTGTGGGTACCCCCATACTCTGGGGAAGTAGCAGAATGTATCACATATACCCATGGCATGTGTGAGCAATAAATAATTGAAATGACAAATTTTGTGCTAAAAAACAAATAATTATTTTTTTGGGTCATTTTCCAAAAACGTTTGGTAAAAAAAAATAAACACTTAAAGGCATATGACAGTCAATATGACAGTCATGTGAAATTCACACACAGTCATGTCCATTCACACACAGTGCTGTGGCTCTGCCGCACACCTCTCTCTCCTCATTAGCTCACTAGCTGTCTCGGCCAAATAGGAGGAAGAGTCCCTGGAGAGCCGAGGCTCTTGTGCAGATCACTGGATCACGATGGGGCTCTGATAAGTATTAGGGGGGCTGGGTGGGCTGCTGCGCTTAGAAGTTTATTTACCTTCATGCACAGAGCCTTTACAACCACTTTAATTGTAACAGGAGAAAACCGGCGAACAGAAGAAAAGGAACGATTTACTTTTGAAGCAGCTAGAACATACCGCTAGGCTGCATAGGGATTGATGTACATAAAAAAGGGGCAAAAGATTATTACTACTGGGGCTCAGTGAAGAACAAGGTTGTACGTGGATTGTAAAATCATTGGAATTTTAAAAAAGAGAAAAACGAGTTTTAATATGGACATGGATTGAATGATAAGTGGACTAGAAAGATATGAACGGGAAAACATTTAAAGAATGTATCAAATAAAAACCGCAATACACAAATGTTAAAAAATATAGAAAAAAGGAAGTAAAAATTTAAAGAAAAGGAAAAAATGGGAAGAAAAAAAAAGGGGGGGGGGGCCACAAAAATAGGGCCACCACTAACTGGCTCAAAGACCCACTGCACTACAAATCCCAGCGTGAATAAAAAGAGACATTGCATTAAAAATATTAATATGGCCAGATGGTCTTGTTTTTTTTATATATCTCACCTTGCTTGATAATACATTATTAAAAAAATGAAAAAAAAATCACATCTCATTTATCACATATAAAATCACCAAACTGTCAATATGACAGGTAAAGCATAAACACAATAAACCTATCTATATATAAGACCACCCTGACTGTTTCAACTGAATAAAAGAATGAAAGATGGATGGTTTGTGTCTGGATTAATTATATAAACACAGTAACAATTAATCATTATAAATAGAAACGCAATGTATCAACAATGAAGCTAAAGCTCTAGGGTAATAAAGATAAATGTTCCATGGTCTAAAAATACAAGTGCCCTGACCTCTGTGTAAGTCTGAGATGAGGTAACAAAAATTTAAATAAATTAAGGAGTTTGACTATTTGATCCACTGGCTAAAAAAAAATTGTCCAACTCTGTAATTTATTTTAATTTTCGTTACCTCATCATAGATATACACAGAGATCAGGGCACTTGTATTTTTTAGTCTATGGAACATTTATCCTTATTACACTAGAGCTTTAGCTGCATTGTTGATACATTGTGTTTTTATTTATGATTAATTATTACTGTGTTTATAGAATGCATTCAGACACCAACTATCCATTTTTTATTATTTTATTTAGTTGAAATAGTCAGGGTGGTCTTATATGTAGATAGGTTGATTGTGTTTATGCTTTACTAAAATTGAGTGTTGATTGTAATGGTGGCAGAGTAGGATCTGTGTAAAAAAACAAAACAAAACAAAAAACAAATATGATGTTGATGTAAGCACCCAGAAAACCATTCCAATACAATCTCTATATCACCCTCCAAGCCACAGTAAGAAGTATTGTTCCCAAATCTAACACAGAAATATACCACAAATCTATGCACAGTTGCACACAGAGCTGGTGAACACAACTGATGAATTACTCCCAAAGGGTTAATCACAAGGAATACGAAGCAGCTTTTCCTAAGAGGCCAGCTAAGTAAAATTCAATACTCATTCCCATTCAGAATCAGTATCCACAAAATATAGGCGATCAAGCACAGCTTTTGTTTTATCAGTGGAACTAAAGGTCTGAATCTGTTACAAAGTTAGGTCCCTTTCATATGACCATTCCGATCAAGTCCGCCTGTCAGTTTTTCAGGAGAATCCGATAAACGGGATCATTCACCCTTATGGACTGTTGGGTGTAAATGGACTTTGTCCATTTACACCTGCCTACCTCCAATCCGGTCCACTAAAAATAAATGGAAGGATGCCTGTCCTCTATCATGTAGGTGGATCGAATCAGAGGTAGTCAGGTGTAAACGGACAGTGGAGTCCATTTACACCTGGCCACCCACAGATCAGAGTAGGCTTTATCCATGTCCGTTCTGCATAAACTGAGTAGATGTGGAACTGTCACCCAACCCATATGAAAGAAACCATAGTGAAAAGCCCTGCAATGTAAGTGGACATGGCCCTGTCATCTGCACCGTGCGAAAGGGAGTTACTATATGTCCGGACCTCCAAAATTCTGGGTCCCAAATAAGTCTCTGCTAATACAGAGAGGACTGCAAGTCAGTCCTCTCCTTTACTTGACTACCCCATAATTCCTCTCCCATCATGGGTGAGACCCCTGAGTACACACACATTTCCCTTAAAGGGACTATAACCCAAATATTGGTGCCATGTAGCACCTGTCCAGAACCCATCCTTGGTGTCCAGTACAATATACAGTGCTCAGCATAAATGAGTACACCCCAACAGATTTGTCAGAAAACCTTTTACTTTCCTTTCAGAATCAACATTCTCTATGAGCCACTATACTACAGAATACTCCCACAAATGCGGGCCATTGATTGCAAACAAGATTTGTTCATTTGCACACACAAAAAATTATTTTTCCTAACAAATTAATTCAAGACCATGTTGCAAAAATGAATACACCCCAATGAACGTCTCAGGAGCAAAGCTAAATTTTAGAAAACGAAATCCTAATTAACAAGAATTTAACTACAGATTAGTCTGTTCATTAAACAGGTGTCCAGCAGATAGTTGATTATAAAAGGGCATTACTTAACAAAGAAAACCCCTTCTCATTTCATGCTGTCATGCTTCCAATATGGAAGAGAAATGTCACAAGACCTGAGAAAGAAAATAATTTCTTTACAAAAAAAAGGTGAAGACTACAAGATCAGCAAAGCATTATCAGTGAGAATACTGTTGCAAAAGTGATACAAAAGTTTAACAAACATGGAACTGCAGCCATCTCACAGAGACTCTAGTCCATCATTGGAAGTTAAGACCTTGACAGCAGTGTCTTCTGATGAGAAGGGTTGAAGAAAATCACCATGCAAGTTCACTGCAGTTAGCTAAAGAAGTAGAAAGCCAAACTGGGGTGATTGTTTCCCATGACACAATACGGCATACACTGCAGAGGAATGGCATACATGGGCATCGCTCATGAAGGATTCTTCTCCTAAAGCCCATGCACAAAAAAGCCTTCCTAGAATTTGCCAGGGCCCATGCTGAAAAAGAAGACTACTGGGACTCTGTACTCCGGATTGATGGGACAAAGATAAATGTTTTTGGAACTGATAGCTTCAAAACTGTATGGCGTAGCAAAGGTGAGGTATACAAAGAAAATGCCTGGTGCCTATAGTGAAACATGGTGGTGGCAGTGTCCTTTTGTGGGGCTGCATGAATGCTGCTGGTGTCAGGGAGCTGCTGCATTTCATTGATGGTATCGTGAATGAATTGATGGTATCTATATTGAAAGAGAAGATGCTACCATCACTCCGTGCCCTTGGTTGTTGTGCACTTTTCCAACATGACAATGATCCAAAACACACATCTAAGGCCACTGTTGCATTTCTGAAGAAGAACGGGGTGAAAGTGATTCAGTGGCCATGTATGTCTCCTGCTCTGAACCCAATCAAACACCTATGGAGAATTCTGAAGAGACAAGTTGAGCATTACTCTCCATCCAGCATCCAGGCTCTAAAAGAAGTCGTTCTTGAAAAATGGAAAAAGATAGATGTTGTAATATGTCACCAACTTGTTCTTTCCATGCTTAGAAGACTTGGTGGTGTCCTTACAAATCATGGAGGTCATAAAAAATACTAGATGTAGTAGTTTTTGTTGTGGGGTGTATTCATTTTTGCATCAGCTAATCCGAGTAAAACTGAAGATTTTGTAATCTAAGTTATATTATTAACTTTATTTCATGTAATGAGCTAAACAAATGTTCTATAAAACTAAGTTTTGTCAAAATGTTGAAAATTGTTCTTGTGTTCATTGAGATATTGATTAAAATCTTACTGTTCAAAAGGGGTGTATTCATTTATGCTGAGCACTGTGTATATGAAACATACAGTATAAATATAAAAAAATTAATAAAATTATACGTGCAGTTGCATACATGAGTGTAAACATACACCTCCATTCCACTATACTTTTTTTATACAAGTACATAGTACAGCAGGCACATATCAGGAATATGAATTGTTAGGTTTACACGTTCTTTAAGACCATACATTCATTATAGAATTACAGTTAAAAAGGGACTAAAAAACTGTTTTAAAGGTTTATTTGTTAAACACACAAGAAACAACATTTTGCAGGTGTAGGTCACAACAAAAATTATCGGGTTGGATTTCCTAAAGGCAAACATACTGTAAACTTTGAAAGTGCAGTTCCTTCCAAGCTTTGTAAATGTCTGATTGAAGCTTAACTTTTCAAATAATAGTCAATTACATGCAAAGAAAATAGAAGAGTATTTTTACATGCACATGATGCTTTTAGTAAAGCCACTCCAAGTCTTGAATGCATTTGAGGCCTAACGCATAGGACTAAAGGGAAGAAGACAAGCCATTAGAATATACATATCCTCCCTCATACACATATACCTTTTTGTCTGTTTGAGACCCAGGCCTTTCCAGTGGCCAGCAGGGTAGACAGTAGGTATAAAAGGAAAAAGGCAAGTCATTAGATAGATAGATAGTCATTGGGTAGACACAGGCTGTTTTTTCCTAAATAAAATGTCAGAGTTAGAATTATGAGAGCTCAAAACTTTAACTGTTTATTAATAACAAAACATCCATCCCCTATACTTATGTCAATAACAAGATCAAAAATAATATTAATGAAGAAGATTGCAGTGTAGGGAAATGTTCACATGGTTAAACAATGTTTAGACATGAAAGAGTAAATTGCACACATTAACTGACAAAAGGCTTAACAACTGAAAGGAGCAGAGGATTGTTGAAAAGCAGTATACAATTACATGCATGTACAGTACAGCAGTGACACACATCAAACTGGCCTAGCCTCAAGCAAAGCAACACAAGCTAGTACAACCCTTTATTCAATACAGAGCCCAGGGGTGGACTGACCATTTAGAAACTTGGGCACTGCCCGAGCACCCGGGGTCAGTAGGGGGCCCCATGAGATGCCCCGGTACCTTTTTCATAGGCTTTTTTGAGTTTGGGCAAGGACACAGAGGCCCCATGATCCCCTATTGCCCGGGGGCCCCATGAGTTATCAGTCCGCCCCTTACAGAGCCTCTTGTTTGGAGCAAACCGTTGTGCAGAGCCATGCATAGCAGTGTGCTTACAGTGAAGCGCGCACACACACACACAGCACACAGTAAAACAGCACACAGTTAACCCTTTGATCACCCCAGATGTTAACTCCTTCCTACCCAGTGTCATTAGTACAGTGTCAGTGCTTTGTATTAGCACTGATAACTGTATTGGTGTCACTGGGGATGTCAGTTACCCCGAGTGTCAGAATGCCTGCCACAGTCCCGCTAAAAGTCGCTGATCACTGCCATTATTAGCAAAAAAAAAAATCCCAGTATGTATACTGCCATTTTTAAACACTATAACTTTCATGTAAACCAATTAATTTACACGTATTGGGATTTTTTTTTAGCAAAGACATGTCGCAGAATACATTTTGGTCTAATAGCACAAAAAATAAAAAACTGCACAGGCTATAAAATACCACCGAAAAAAAGCTCTATTTGTGGGGAAAAAAGGACATAAATGTAATTTGGGTGCAGTGTTGCATGACCGCGCAATTGTCATTTAAAGTACCACAGCGCCGTAATGCAAAAAATGGCCTGGTCAGGAAGAGGGGGGTAAATCCCCTGGAGGGCAAGTGGTTAACTTCTGTATCATTGCAGTTTTCTCATATCTCTCTCATACATCTGAAATAAATATTCTTACCCAGCCAGGTGTGCCAGAGTGTGTGGTTCTGTTTTGGTGCGGTTTGCAAAGTCATGGACATATCATGAACAGGGGACCCAATACATCCCATGGTTGCTTCTGGGGCAAGCAGTAAACCAAAGTACCCCTGCCCAACAGACACAGATATCTGACTATCAATGCTTGACTGCCAACATAAGCACTATTTCAGTGTTCCATTCCAGCTTGTGTTTGAAGGTTGCACCCTTTTCATCGGAGCCTCAGAACTGTGTGGGCTGCTATGACTGTCCTTACACCACTGTGTGTGTGCATCCAATTGCTTAGTATAAATTTTGCATTTGGTTTCAGATTTGTTTTGTATTATCTTTCTTGCACCCAATCAGAACAGAAGTTCCCAAAAGCAGTGAAGCAGAACATAACAAAACAACATAATCAGACAATGAATTCCAAACAAGCAGGAGGTTTATTGATATCAGCTGCAGGTGGGAGCAAGCCTATTACTTACTCAGAAAATATAGAGTACACAGACTCCTTATATAAGAATCTTTCACCATAGAATTACATGTGGTACGATATGATTGGTTATCAAGACATACATTAATGTAATTAAAGTGGTAGTAAACCTAATCATTAAAAAAAAAACATATAGAAAAAAAAAATTCCCCTGCAAGGCAATGGCATAAAGTGTTAGTAGGCATCACTTACTAGCACATTATGTGAAACTTACCTGAAAATGAAGCCCTCCATTGGCAGGCTGTCACCACTGACAGGGCTTCCATCTTCACCTGGTCCTTCTTCTGGGTTTCGTGGGCTCTGGCGGCTTGAATGGCCGAGCTGCGATGACGTCACTCCCATGCATGTGTGCTGGAGTCACTTTTTATGGCACACGGCTCTGAAGGCTCTGAAGGAATGGCACAAACATGCTGTTCCTTCTGAACACATGCACCTATGCTACAAAATGGTGCAGGTTTAGGAGATATTTACAGTACCTACAGGTAAGCCTTCTTATAGGCGTTCCTCTAGGTAAAAGTAAAAAAAACAGACTTTACTACCACTTTAACATGAAAAAAAATAATGAAATGTCTAAACCTGCAGACATGATGTCTGGAACGATCGAGAGACAGGTGAGTGGCTGTTTTTTAAAAGTCAGCAGCTACAGTTTTTGCAGTGTGACTGGAATTACGCTTTAAGTTTCTAGAAATAATAAGTATTGCTTGACAATAATATTTATTCCTAATTATTTTTTAATACATGTGCTAATTAATATCAATAATATAGAATATATGGTTAATATGAACATTCTATTACAGTAGCATTATATGGATGTTCAATGCCCACGTCAAACTAGGACTACACCATTGAACATCAATTTATGAGTTCATGAAAGGTTTGAGAAATTTGTTTGCTATGCATGCCAATGTGAGGGTGTAGTGCAGTTATACCATAGTGGGAGGAGCCATACAGTGTGACATCATCACACACTGGAGGGATAGCGACCATCTTGCTGGTTTGAAACATTCCTTTTTTATCATGTTGCCCATTTTAGATATTCATGTATATGAATTAAATAAATCTACTGGTTTTACTTTTAATGCTACACTATGAATTGGCATTTTTTTCCCCATGTGTTCTTCTACTATCTGATGGGATTTTCTGGTACTCGAAATTTCATTGAAAGTGGAGAAGCATCTTTACTGTAATGTTCTGGAGGGGATTCCTATTGAGGATCTGTTGCTGCACCAGTGGAAATACCATGTTGACCGACCATTTGGGCGATCAAATGTTCTGGTAAGAGGCCATCTATTTGGGTGGGTGGTGACGGTTTCTGGATTGGAACTTTCCTTCTCATGCACCAACCTTTATCTGTATGGGAAATTTATATGGACTCTGCTATTATCTATATTGGCTAACTTTGGTTTGAGATTTATATGCAATTAGTGCTGCAGTTATTTATGTTTTATTATTGTTGTCTTTGAATGTGCAAGCTGCTTTATTTTAATTTTTTTTATATATTTAGGTATACAATAGTGATTATTTTCTATTCATGTTTTTTTTTAGAAACTGAAGCCCTAAGTACTTGACAAGTCCAACATAGCTAACACAAATGTGTCTTCAAATACACTAATATGCACGTACTATAAAAAACAGACAGACTATGGCAGGCAAACACAAACAAGTGAAACCTGGTACCCGAGCTTTACTGAAGCCATGTAAGAGTTTAACAGATCAATCCATAATGTGCTGAACTGGTAAATTGCTTGAATGCACCAGAATTTGTAATTGCTATTACAATTTCTTTTTTTTTTTTTTTGCTGGTGTTGCATTCATGCTGGAAATATAAAAAGTAGAGCTCAGCCCCCAACCTTGAATCCCAAGTTATACTATTTAGAGTATATACACTCTATAAGTAGATGCACCATACCAAAAACAGCTGAGCACTATCCATGATACTTTTTTTTAAATTTGCAATAACATTTACATTTTTCGGTACAAGCTTTTGAGGTGTTCCCTTTTTCTTGGTCCAAGCAGTATTAGACATAGCAGAAGGGAACACAGGAAAGCTTGTCCTGAAAATGCAGATTTTAGTGCAAACAAAAAAAAGTATCACAAACAATGCTTAGTAGTTTTTTGTGGCACGTGCACTAATGCGGCTATAACACACCATATCAGCAAACCTTGTTATGGAATAATAAATAGTAAATGCTATACAGTGTGAAGTAAAATATATAATGAAATAAATATAAGACTATCATTGAGGTAAACCGCCACACATTGCTTAGTGAAGACCGTTGTTCCCTTGAAGTGTTCAAATAATTCTGTTATCAATGGGATCGGATAAGCATTTTTAATAGTATTAGAACTGAGACCCCTATAATTGATACAGGGTCTCAGTTCACCACTCTACTTTTTGACAAAAAAAAACCAGCACTGACAGGAGAAGAGGATTTGCGTATGAACCCCCCAAGACAGTGAATCCACAACATATTCCTACATAGCCTTATCCTCAGAGACAGATAGAGGGTAAACCTGGCCACAAGGAGGAATGGCACCAGGTTGAAGATCAGTTGTGCAGTCATAAGGTTGATGTGGGGGCAAAATACCGGCCTGACTTTTGTCAAAGACATCAGAGATTCTCTGTACGCAGAAGAGACTGAAGACGTGCACAAGACTCTACTCACTTTCTCTGAAAACAAATATTAGTGCATTGTGGCACCCATGACACAACCTCGATTCTATGCCAGTCAAATGAAGGATTGTGGTTCTGTAACCAAGGATAACAACAACAACAACAACAAACAAATATATATATAAACAAATATAAACATTTTAAATGGTAATTTAACAGATCAAAAAGGCAACAAAGAAAATTTGGGATTGTGGGCAAAATTGCTACGATTCTGCCTGTGATTCCAAATCACACTGCAAACCGCATTGATTGTAGCTTGTCATCAAAAATGGAGCAGGAGCTTGTTTTGGACAACAAACTTTGAATGATGGAGTTTGCCAGGATTGTCAGGCAATACATCCCTGCAAAACTGCACTGTGTTTGAGGTGTGTTTGAGGTGCTATTAAAAATGAATGGCACACAAACATGCATTTTGCCATGATTGCACCGTGATATGGAATCGCAGGCAGAATTGTGGCAATTCCACCCACGATCCCAAATAGTCAGACGTGAATGGAACCTACACATTACACTTTAAAAGTGGGGTTCATCTTAGCCACTTCAATACCAACATGTTATACCCCCTCTATTAGCAGGCCATTTTTTGGTTTTCAGTGCTGTGATAGTTTGACTAACAATTACACATCCATATATGTCACGTTTTGTCAGAGAGATAGTGCTTTTATTTGCTGCTATTTAATTAACCATTCGTTTTTTTTTGTTTTTTTTTTATACTATATAAAGTTAAAAAGGCCAAGAAGTGGACAAATTGGGCAAGTGGACACCCCAAGGTGATCTAAATTTTTGCCACAATAATTGGTAAATTAAGAAAATTGCTGGCTAAAAAAGCATATTGAGATGTGCTTAGCTTTTAAAATTTGCTCGCTGAAGTCTTCTGTTATTAGTGGAACAAAGTTCCCTGATGGACGACATTGCGTTGCACTGATTTTGCATTACATGTCATGGATAAACCCAAAAAACACTTTTACTGTAACCCCTCCCAAAACTATACCACAGTGATTGGTGGTCAGCAGCACTTTAAATCACCTCCCCAAAACAATCCCACAATCATTTGTGGTAGGTGGCATTTGAAACCCCCTCCCCACCTATATCCCCTTTATTGGTGGTCAGTGGCATGTTACCCCTCTAAACAATGGCGC